TTTTTTCTATTGCCCTCTCTTCTTCCCTTGCCTTTTCTTCTTCCTTTGCTATCTTTTTTCTCGCTTTTTATTCTTCTTTTGCCCTCTTTTCTTCCCTCGCTATGTTCTTCTTGCTGTTTCTTCTTCCCATTCCCTCTTCTTACGTCGCTATTTTCATTTAGCTAACTATTCTACCCTCAACCCTTATTCCTCCTTAGCCCTCTCTTCTTTTGCTATCTTTTTTCACTTTATCTTCCCACGCTTTCTTCTTTTTTTAGCAGTCTTTGATTTCTTTTTTTCCCCTTGCTCTCTTCTTCCCTCACCTTCTCTTCTTTCCTCACATTCGCTTCTTCCCTCACCTACTGTTCTTCCTTCTCTTTTTTCCACACCTTCTCTTCTTTCCTCTCCCCTTCCCTCTCCTTCTCCCTCTCCTCTTCTTCCCTCTCTGTCTTCGTTCACTTTCTATTTTTCCTGTCGCCTTCTCTTCTTTCCTTGCCCTCTCTTCTTCCTATTTTTACTCTTATATCTTCTTGTTTTCTATTCTTCCTTCACCCACTCAGCTATGTTCTTATCACTTTCTATTCTTTTTTTTCTTTTTTCCCATTGCCCTCTCTTTCTTCCCATGCATCTCTTTTTCACTCGTTCTCTGTTTCCCTCACATTTTTCATTCACTTCTTCTTCCTCACCTACTCATCTTCTCTTGCCCTCTCTTCTTCTCTAACCTTCTCTTCTACTCTTGCCCTCTCCTTCCTTTTTGACATTCTTCTCATCTTCTAATCTTCACTTGACCTTTCTTCTTTCCTTGCCTTCTCTTCTTACTCTTCTTCTCGCTTTCCATTCTTCCCTCGACCTCTCTTCACTTGCTATATTATACTTGCTTTTTCTTCTTCCCACTCGATCTCCTCTTCCTTTGCTATATTTTTTTTGCCATCTATTCTTCCCTCACCTTCTCTTCTTCTATTGCTTTCTCTTCTACCTACACCCTCTCTTCTTTCCTCGCCTACTCTTCTTCCTTTTTGTATCTTCTGTCCACTTTCTTTTCTCATCTCACTGTATTTTGTTTGTTTTTTTCTTCTTCTAATGCCCTTTTTTCTTACTTACTATCTTTTTTTTTTATCTATTCTTCCCTCATTCTCTTCCTTCACCTTATTTTTTTTCCCTCTACTTCTCTCTTTTTCCATTGTCCTCTCTTCTTCCTTTGCTATCTTCTTATCGCTTTCTATTCTTTTTCTCTTTTTTCCCTTCCCCCTCTTCTCTCTTCTTCCCCACGTATCTCTTTTTTTCACTCACTTTTTCTTTCTCCCTCACCTTCTCTTCTTCACTAGCCTTCTCTTCTTTTCTCGTCTTCTCTTCTTCCTTTGCTATCTTCTGTCGCTTTCTATTCTTCCCACTTCCTTAGCTGTCTTCTTTTCATTTCCGATCTTCTTCCCTTACCTTCTCTTCTTCCCCCACCTTCTCTTCTTGCCTCTCTTTTTCTTCTTCCCTCCCCCTCTCTTCTTCTCACAGCTTCTCTTCTACCCTTGCCCTCTCTTCTTCCTTTTTGCATTCTTCTTGCATTCTAATCTTCACTTGCCCTCTCTTATTTCCTTGCCTTCTCTTCTTACTCTTATATCTTCTTGTTTTCTATTCTTCCTTCACCCACTCTTCATCACTAGCTAGATTATTCTTGCTTTTTCTGCTTCCCACTCCAACTGCTCTTCCTTTTGTTTGCTGTCTATTCCTCCCTCGCTCTCTATTCTTCGCGCTTTCTTCTTTCCTTGCCTTCACTTCTTCCCTCCCCTCTCTTCTTAACTCAATTTCCCTTCTTCCCTCTTCTTCTTCTTACCTTGCTATCTTCTTCTTCGCTTTTTTGTCTTCCCATGCCTTCTCTTCTATTTTCTTTTTGCTTTCTATTTTTTCCCTTGCACTATTGTCTTCCCTTGCCTTCTTTTCTATTCTTCCCTTGCCTTGTTTTCTTTCCTCGCTATCTTCTTCTCACTTTCTATTCTTCCCTAAATCTCTCCTTCCCGCGCGTCTCTTCTTTTTTTCTTCTTCTCTCTCCCTCTCTTATTCCTTCGCTACCTTTTTGCTTTCCATTCTAATCTCACCCTCTCTTCTTTCTTTCCCCCTCTCTTCTTCCCATGCCTTCTCTTCTACCCTTGCCCCCTCTTTTTCTTTTGCTCTCTTGATCTCACTTTGTATTCTTCCCTCTCTCTCCCTCTCTTCTTCCTTTTCACTCTTCTTCCTTCGTTTTCTCTTCTTCCCCTACCTACTCTTCTTCCTGTTCTTTCTTCTTCTCGCTTTCTATTCTTCCCTTTGCTATCTTTTACACATTTTCTCTTCTTTCCTCACCCACTCCTCTTCCTTTGTGCTCACTTCTTCCCTCGTTTTCTCTTCTTCCCTTGCCATCTCTTCTTCCTGTTCTCTCTTTGTCTCACTTTCTATTCTTCCCTTCAATATCTTTTACATTTTCTCTTGTTTCCTCACCCTCTCTCTTCTTCCCTTGCCTTCCCTTCTTTCTTCGCCTTCTCTTCTACTCTTGCAATCTTCATCTCACTTTCTATTCTTCCCTCGCTCTCTCTTCTTTCTTTGTACTCACTTTTCTTCCCATACTCGGACTTTATTACTGATCTATTCAAATTTCCTACCCATTAACATTGATTAAAGATGAAAGGAGGAACAAAATTATTGCTTGTAGTGTGCTGGATCCGATAAATGGCTCTAAAAATCAATCGCTTTCTGATGAGTTCAATCCTCAAAAGAAATGCATGTCTAACAAATTATGCACTGATTTGCATGCTCATGAGGTAAATAAGTATTTGATCCGCTACCATTCAGCAGGATTTCTGGTTACCAGGTGTGTTTCGTACAGGTAATAAGCTGAGATTAGAAGCAGTCTCTTAAAGGAAGTGCTGCTAGTCTAATTTTGTTACCTGCATAAAAGACACCTGTCCACAGGAGCAATCAAACAATCAGATTCCAAACTATCCACCATGGCAAAGACCAAAGAGCAGTCCAAGGATGTCAGGGACAAGATTGTAGACCTACACAAGGCTGGACTGGGCTACCAAACTATCGCCAAGCAGCTTGGTGAGAAGAAAATGGAAGAAACACAAAACAACTGTCAGTCTCCCTAGGTCTGGTGCACCATGCAAGATCTTGCCTCATGGAGTGTCAATGATCATGAGAACAGTGAGGAATCATCCCAAAACTACATGTCAGAATCTTGTCAATGATGTCCAGGCAGCTGGGACCACAGTCACCAAGAAAACAATTGGTAACACAGTACGCCGACAAGGATTGAAATCCTGCAGTGCCCGCGAGGTCCCTCTGCTCAAGAAAGCACATGTCCAGGCCCATCTGAAGTTTTCCACTGAACATCTGACTGATGCAGAGGAGGACTGGTTGAAAGTGTTGTGGTTAGATGAGACCCAACTGTCAAACATGGTTGTGGAAAAATTCTGCTTTGGGGGTGTTTTTCTGTTAAGGGGACAGGGCAACTGCACCGCATCAAAGGACAATGGACGGGGTAATGTACCGTCAAATCTTGGGTGAGAATTTTTTTGTTGCTATTCGATTTTGCCATTTGATTTTTAGACTGATCATTTCTTTGTGAGTGGGCAAACATTCAAGAACAGCAGGGGATCAAATACATATTTCCTTCACTGTATGGACATCATCTGCTATCCTCTGGGTTTTATTTCCTTCCCTTCCATCACTTCCTGGCCCGCCTCCTAGTTTGTTTGTCTATATAAGACATGCTCAATCTAGCCCACTTTGCCTGAGCAACTTCTTAGTTCTTTGAGCTCCTGTCTGTTGCTACGCTTGTATCCTGTATCTGACTATCCGTGCACCGACCCCCGGCTTTGTCCACTGTGCTGATCTCCACCTGTTCTGACCTCGGCTTGCTGCAAGTCCATCCCCACCGACAGGGGTTCTGGTGAAGAAGCAGGCTGGAGCTTAGACTCCACGCCCTGGGGAACCCCGAGTTGGTGGTCTACAAGGGCTCACTACCACAGGTTCGTGACACCACCATCTAAAAGATTTCAGATCTAGCTCCCATGTGTAACAAGGGGCCATGTGTGCTGTCACTGATGTTGTGATGTCAACATATTTTATTTTGCCAATGGATGTACTCATTCAGCTTTGTCTAGACCATTGGGTTTCTTACTTGCTTGGCTATTTAAATCCTAAACTCCTCTCTTCACACAATATGAATTTAAAGGCACAACCCATATTATGGTAGTGGAAATAATAGAGTCTACATATACAGAAACTCTCACTCCTCCTAAAGTCACTGAACGTCTATTAAAGATGAAGACATCTATCAAATATCTATCTAATTAACCATCAACATATTAAGCATATTTTATAACTCCATAACTTAATATATGAGTGGACATAAAGGTTAGAGACACTTACTTTAATGTATCAATGTTCCAAGAACACCTGTAAACTTAGCTTAGTATTTACCGTATTTTTCGCTCCATAAGACGCACCTGTCCATAAGACGCGCCTAGGTTTTAGAGGAGAAAAACAAGAAAAAAAATATTCTGAACCAATGTACTGCAGACACAGTACAGGGGATGACCAGAGACTCTGAACATAGTACAGGGGATGACCAGAGACTCTGGACATAGTACAGGGAATGACCAGAGACTGCAGACAGTACAGGAGATGACCAGAGACTGCGGACATAGTACAGGGATGACCAGAGACTGCGGACATAGTACAGGGGATGACCAGAGACTGCGGACACAGTACAGGGGACGACCAGAGACTGCGGACACAGTACAGGGGACGACCAGAGACTGCGGACACAGTACAGGGGATGACCAGAGACTGCGGACACAGTACAGGGGACGACCAGAGACTGCGGACACAGTACAGGGGATGACCAGAGACTGCGGACACAGTACAGGGGATGACCACAGACTGCGGACATAGTACAGAAGATGACCAGAGATTGCAGACGCAGTACAGGAGATGACCAGAGACTGCAGACACAGTACAGGGGATGACCAGAGACTGCGGACACAGTACAGGGGATGACCAGAGACTGCGGACACAGTACAGGGGATGACCAGAGACTGCGGACACAGTACAGGGGATGACCAGAGACTGCAGACACAGTACAGGGGATCACCAGAGACTGTGGACACAGTACAGGAGATGACCAGAGACTGCAGACATAGTACAGGGAATGACCAGAGACTGCATAGTACAGGGAATGACCAGAGACTGCAGAAAGTGCAGGGTATGACCAGAGACTGCGGACCTTTGAGGAGGGAGAGGGAACGGGTACCTGAATTTGACAGGAACCCGCTCCCACTTCTGCAGAGTTGTCCTTCCTTCTTCCCGCGGCGGCTTCTGTGACAGCCAGGTGCCCACTGCGCATGCACGAGAAGCGCTGCGCTTTGTGAATGGCCCGGAGCCTTCTGGGATCTGTCATGTGTCCCAGAAGACGCCAGACCATTCACAAAGTGCAGCGCTTCTCGGGCATGCGCAGTGGGCACTCGGCTGTCACAGAAGCTGCCGCGGGAAGACTGCAGCGCTGGAGCGAGGAACACCTGCTATTCTCTGGGTTTTATTTCCTTCCCTCACTTCCTGGCCCTTCTTAGTTTGCGTGTCTATATAAGACTTGCTCAGTTTAGCCCACTTTGCCTGAGCAACTCCTTAGATCTCTGAGCTCCCGTTTGTTGCTACTCCTGTATCCTGTGTTTGACTATCCATATACCAATCCCAGCTTTGTCCACCGACTGTGCTTGTTTTCTGCCCGTCCTGGCTTGTTTGCTGGATTTCCTGTTGTCTAATGCTAAAGCACTCTGCTCATGCCAGTAGTCTCTGCATCCTCAGCTGGGTGTACCTGGGGGCAGCGACCTGGTGTCAGCTTGCTGCAAGTCCATCCCCACCATCAGGGGCCCTGATGAAGAAGCAGTCTGGGGCTTAGACTCTGTGCCCTGGGGAACCCCGAGTTGGCAACCTACAAGGCCTCACTACCATTGAAACCTGACAGCAGTTACTCTAGGCGAGCTGGACAGGGCCATAGAAGGTCGTTAACCCATCAACAGGACCAGTATCTGCTCCATTGTCCAAGGAACAACAGGATGAGTACTGCCAGAGCCCTACAAAATTACCTCCAGCAGGCCACTGGTGTGAATGTCTCTGATCAAACAATCGGAAACAGAATTCATGAGGGTGGCCTGAGGGCCTGCCATCCTCTAGTGGGCCCTGTGCTCACTGCCCGACACCATAGAGCTCGATTCATCTGGCGCCCTGTGCTTTTCACAGATGAGAGCAGGTTCACCCTGAGCACATGTGACAGATTTGTAAGGGTCTGGAGAAGCAACAGAGAACTTTATGCTGCCTGTAACTTTGTTCAGCATGACCGTTTTGGTGGTGGGTCAGTGATGGTCTGGGGAGGCATATCCATGGAGGGACACACAGACCTCTACAGGCTAGACAATGGCACCCTGACTGCCATTAGGTACCGGGATGAAATCCTTGAGCCCATTGTCAGACCCTACGCTGGTGCACTGGGTCCTGGGTTCCTCCTGGTGCACGTCAATGCCCGGCCTCATGTCGCAAGAGTATGCACGTAGTTCCTGGAGGGTGAAGGAATATATACCAATGAATGGCCCCCACGCTTGCCTGACCAAAATCCAATAGAACACTTCTGGAATATCATGTTTCTGTCCATCCGATGCCACCAGGTTGCACCTCAGCTGTGGCTCAGTGATGCCCTGGTCCAGATCTGGGAGGAAATACCCCAGGACACCAGGTTGCACCTCAGACTGTCCAGGTGCTCAGTGATGCCATGGTCCAGATCTCAGAGGAAATAACCAAGGACATCATCCGTCGTCTCATTAGGAGCATGCCCCAACGTTGTCAGGCACGCAAATAAGCACGTGAGAGCCATGCAAACTACTGATTGCCATTTTGTGTTGCTTCAATGAAATTTCAGCAAAATGGACTAGCCTGCATTTTTTTCACTTTGATATTCGGGGTGTCTTTGAATTCAGTCCTCTGTAGGTTGATCATTTTCATTTCCATCAAACGATGGGACATAATTATGTTCCTAACACATTACCCAGTCCATATCAGTACAGATTTCCAGCATGACATTCTTCCCCATTGAGATCTGATGTGTTTTCAAAGTGTTTCTTTATTTTTTTTGAGCAGTGTCTGTGTGTGTGTGTATATATATATATATATATATATATATATATATATATATGCGCATACACAAATCTCCATCCAAAAGAGGATGGGTCTGAACAAGTAACACAATTACATAATTAAAAACAATATGAGCAAGGACCAAATGATTGATACAGGTTTGATAATATAAATGGCGGATCCAAAACTCAAATCCTCACAATAAATCAATACCTAAAGAGATGGGGAAAACAAAAGAGGATAGGAAAAAGACAAATGAGTCCATAGGATGTCTAATACACTGTTCAAAAAAATTAAAGGAACACTTTTTAATCAGAGTACAGCATCAAGTCAATTAAACTCCTGGGATATTTATCTGGTCAGTTAAGTAGCAGAGGGGGTTGTTAATCAGTTTCAGCTGTTTTGGTGGTAATGAAATTAACAACAGGTGCATTAGATGGGCAACGAGATGATCCCCAAAACAGGAATGATTTTACAGGTGAAGGCCACTGCCATTTTTTCCCTACTCATCTTTTCTGTTTTTCACTAGTTTTGCATTTGGCTAGAATCAGTGTCACTACTGGTAGCATGAGGCGATACCTGCGCCCTACAGAGGTTGCACAGGCAGTCCAACTCCTCCAGGATGGCACATCAATAGGTGAATTTGCCAGGTTTGCTGTGTCTCCCAGCACAGTCTCAAGAGCATGGAGGAGATTCCAGGAGACAGGCAATTACTCTAAGAGAGCTGGACAGGGCCGTAGAAGGTCCTTAACCCATCAGCAGGATAGGTATCTGCTCCTTTGTGCAAGGAGGAAGATAAGCACTGCCAGAGCCCTACAAAATGACCTTCAGCAGGCCGCTGATGTGAATGTCTCGGACCAATCAGAAACAGACTTCATGAGGGTGGCCTGAGAGCCCGGTGTCCTCTAGTGGGTCCTCTGCTCACTGCCCAACACCATAGAGCTCGATTGGCATTTGTCATTGGACACCAGAATTGGCAGGTCCACCACAGGCGCCCTGTGCTTTTCACAGATGAAAGCAGGTTCACCCTGAGCACATGTGACAGACGTGAAAGGGTCTGGAGAAGCCGTGGAGAACATTACACTGCCTGAATATCATTCAGCATGACCGTTTTGGTGGTGGGTCAGTGATGGCCCAGGGAGGCATATTCATGGAGGGACACACAGACCTCTACAGGCTAGACATTGGAACCCTGACTGCCATTAGGTACCGGGATGAAATGCTTGCACCCATTGTCAGACATTACGCTGGTGCAGTGGGTCCTGGGTTTCTCCTGGTGCACGACAATGCCCGGCCTTATGTGGCAAGAGTATATAGGCAGTTCCTGGAGGATGAAAGAATACCATTAAATGGCCCCCACGCTCGCCTGACCTAAATCCAATAGAACACTGGGATATCATGTTTCTGTCCATCCACGGCCGCCAGGCTGCACCTCAGACTGTCCAGGTGCTCAGTGATGCCATGGTCCATATCAGGGAGATAATAGCCAAGGACACCATCTGTCGTCTCATTAGGAGCATACCCCAACGTTGTCAGGCACGCATATAAGCACGTGGGGGCTATACAAACTACTGAATATCTTTTTGTGTTGCTACAATCAAATTTCAGCAAATTAGACTAGCTTGCGGCATCATTTTTTCACTTTGATTTTCAGGGTGTCTTTGAATTCAGTCCTCTGTAGGTTGATAAATTTCATTTCCATCAAACGATGGGGCATCCTTACATTCTTAACACATTACCCAGTCCATATCAGTATATTTATCCAGCATAATATTTTTCCCCATCGAGATCTGATGTGTTTTCAAAGTGTTCCATTAATTTTTTTTGAGCAGTGTACATTTTAAAAAGAGATCCACATCCCATGTTAAATTCATACCAACTGGACTTTTAATACCTAGGATGAAAATCCACCAAACCTCCCTATCTACCAACTTTCAGTGGAAATCACCACCACGAAGAGATTTTTTTTAACCCTATCCCACAGAAGGAAAAGGATTGCTTAGCACCTGCATGTACATGTTTAAAATGCCCTGAGATACATTTCTTTCCTCCATATTATTGACCCCATTATAATGCTCACCAATCCTAATGCGGGGAGACCTAGAAATGCAACCAATATAATGTATCATGCACGCAGTGAAATCAATAAGATAAATTACATTTTTGGCCCCGCCCTTAATAAACAAATGTTCTTTCCCAGTGGATCGGGAGATTACAGTATTGTGATTGCTGTTGTGTTTACTACAGTATCTACACGTTTTAAGACCACAGTGGAAAGCACCAACAGTGCTGAGCCAAGTATTGTTTAAGGTAGAGGAAGTGAAGAGTCTTGGGGATAATACATCTCCCAAAGAGTTTGCACATCTGCTGGAAAATCTTTATCTCCTGACAGGACTGGTAAATATTTGTAAATAATATTGATAATATGTTTATATCCTTGCAAAAATGTTACAAATGTAACAGGGTTACCACATTAATAGGGCTCCCTCTTTGTCTTCTTCGGTAGCTTTTTATTTACCAGAGCAAATTAGCTCTGGTAAATAGTTTTTTTGGGCACAATAACTATCGCCCTGTTGATATGGACTGTAACCCCATTCCCTTAGTCTACTGGAGACATTCCCGCACTCTTGTGTGAAATCCACCTCAACAGAGCAATTCCATTGAGCTCTGGTAAATTCCCCAACAGGAACAGACTTGATGGCATGTGCCAGATGACAGCTTGGTGCTAGGCTTAGGGAATGACCAGAAAATGCTTTAAGAAAAGTACGGGTGTTCACAATGCCTGTGGTGAGGTTACTTAGGGTGATGTCCAAAAAATCAATACTGGTAGAACCACTGTCAAAGCTAAACTGTAAGTTTTAAGTTATTGATGTAAGAAACAAAAGGAGGAAAGAGTACAATCCATGTTGTCCCATACCAGTGCATGGTCATCAACGTACATCCCACACCACACAATCCTGTCAATACAGTGAAGGAAATAAGTATTTGAGCCCCTGCTGATTTTGAATATTTGCCCACTCACAGACATGATCATTCTAAAAATGGAATGGTAGGTGTATTGTATTGTAGAGACAGAATAGCAACAAAAAATTCAAAAGAAATGCATGTCTAACAAATTATGCACTGATTTCCATGTTCACGAGGGAAATAAGTATTTGATCCCCTTCACAAAACATGACTTAGTACTTGGTGGCATATCCCTTGTTGGCAATCACAGAGGTCAAATGTTTCTTGTAGTTAGCCACCAGGTTTGCACAAATCT